GCCTCCTTTGGACTCAATCCAACAGGTTCATGTCATTCCTGTGTTGCAGACACCAGAGTTTCATCAAGCAGATAAGAAATCAAAATCAATCCTTCACACAAACAAGTTATTACAATTTGGTTTGCAACATGTTAACTATAAGTAAATCTCTTTCTGCTTTGTTAGCATCTTTTAAGACATGCTATCTAAGCCCATGTCATTTAGCTGTAGAGAAGGAGTAAAACTGAAACTTAATAACTAATCTTAACCACATGAATTTTTTTAGGGAAATTCTCAATATATTCAGAAATCCCTAGGTCAATAACTATATTTACAGGTTTTACCTTAACTTTTAAAATGTTACTTTGTTTTGCTTTTTTCTTTTCAGAAGAAGATACAGATGTAAACTACTCTCAGGTAAAGGCTACTGGTGTCTTTAATAATATTAAAAATACTCACATGAGTGTAAATAATTTCTATTGACTTTAAGCAGCAATATGTTCGCTCATCTTTCAGTATTTTGCCACTACTGCATTGGCAGTGCCCCGTATGCAAGTCTGTCTACCCTGCACACAAGAGGCGTAGGAGAGCCGTGCCTCTTTGAGCCTGGGTGGGCACTTTGCTGTCCCAGCAGAGCTCACACCAAGAGCGCCAGGACGCTGCAGCAGCCGGGCAGAGCTGGGGCACAGGCTGCTCTCTGCAGGAGAAACAGAGCTGCTGCACCGAGGCACAGCTGCAGCTCAATCCACCAAAGCCTGCACTAACAAAACATTGATATTTGGCTTTTTAAAAATGCAGATCAGTCTATTTAATGCAAGATCATCCTAGGAGAAGAAAATCCACATTAGGTTCCTTTCTTGAGTCTTTGGGTTTTGTTTCAGTCCAAAATACAGACAGCCTTACTGTCTGTAATGAGAAACTTAGAACAAAAAGAAAGATAGATTGTACAGAGCTTTATTCTTATACAAGGTATGCAATATGATATCCGAGAATCCACTGCAAAAGGTCTCTAGAAAGGAGAAATTAAATTTGGGAATAGTTAATGGATTGCTACACACACTGCAAACTAAAACAGAGTTTTAACATGCGCATTTGCACTGTTTTTCTTAGGAGACAACTGTTTTCATTCTTACAAAAATTACTGTTACTGAATCAGGCTAAATTTACATAGGCTGTTTCAAGGCAAAGGTATTGTGTGCATTTAGTTTTTCAAGACCTTGTCATTAGGAAAAAAAAAAAAAGCTAATCCTCTTAAAACCTTCTCTGTATTTTAATTTTTTTTAATTATCAAAATGTGATTTTTGCAAGACCATGTGATTTTTCACTATCTGATGTGAGCACTTGCATTAATGCAATAAAGCCTTTGGCTCAAAGGGATCATAAGAGCATTTAAGCAAATGGGGGAGTTTCAAGAAATCTAAAGTTGTTTTGTTAAAAAGTGGGTTTAGAGGTTTAGATGTGGTCATATTTGTCACTCACAGCCCCTAAGTATGGTCTCAGCAAAATGACATAGAAAATAGGCTATATATATATATATATATATATATATATATATATATATATTCCAGAATATAATAAAAATACTTTTATGTCCAGTTAATTCAAGGCATGTGACTTATACAGTTGATAATTTGCATTTATGCAGTTCCTCTTGTTCTAAAAATCTCAGATGAAAAAATGCTAACAGTTTTTGGCAAAAAATCCTATTAATTTTGACCACCCCAAACTATCAAAAATACCTTAACAATCATTTTTACATGACAGAGTAAAACCCAACCTTCTGCCACGTACTCTAAAGAACATCAAAGAATTCCAGTGACTTGTTACTGAAATAGACTGATCTGCATCTGTCTGACTCAGCCTTGTACATGAGGTGTATTAAGTTATTCTGAAAATATTTTTGAATATTACATTCTTATTTATTACAAAACAGCTCCCTAGGGTTGTTCTTTTGTGCTGCCGTGTCCTGGGTGTGGGCCTGACACCTGACACCAAGTCAGGGCAGGTACACCCAGTCCCAGTGACACTCTGGGAACAACTTCATCCTGAGCCAGGACTATTTCCCCTGAACAATTCATCTATACAGACAAATAAAGCAGCTTTCTTCTTTATTTTTATATTAGTTATGAATGAGAAATTGAAGAATTCCTGAACCAAGGAAACTTTTTTTGGTGTATTAATAGAAATCTACTGGGAATAGTATTTAACAGCCAAATATACAAAGAAGTTGAGACTGCATTTAACTCTCAAAATTATGTGCCAGATTTTCCTGCACCTGTGTCTATGACTGAAGGGATTTCATCAGAGGTTTGCTTGTGTAACCACGCTGAATTTGTTTTATTATTCTACACTTGAAGCTAGGCAGTGCAAATTGCAAAACGAAATATATCCAGTAGATGTCATCATCCTGCGTCCCATGTGCCTGATAATCCAGTTTAGATTTACCTTTTTATAACTGAACTGAAATCAAAAGTAGGAGTCCTAACAGAAATAAGTTTTCTGAAAAACTTGTGTAAAGCATACTCATTTGATGTGATGCACCTTACTAACACTAGGATTTCCGGAATGTTTACAACCTGGAAGTGTTCATGCACAAAGTAAATTGGAGATATCCATGACTGCACTCACATGCCCAAATAACATCCGTAAAATATGCCAGTAAATGCATGTATTTAAACCTGAAAATCCATTTAATTTCCAGTTAATCCGCATGTCCTTAAAGCAATATAAATATGTACTACAGCATCACCTCTGATCCTGAAGCCTGTACTGCAAAAATAGATTTTAGATCCTCTTTAGAGATGAGAATATTAAACGAAGTTGAAAGGGCTTTGGGAGGTCAGGGAATTCCATTTCCATAAATAGTGCTTTGAGTTGTTCATTTCTTGAAATTACACCTCATATAAATTAATATCTTTATATATATATTACTGGGATTTGTCAAGTACTCTGATGTGCTTGATTTACATTGTTTTTCATTTCAAATCAAATACTGTCATTTACAAGCAGCAGCTTTATACTTAGTTGAGGAACAAAATGATTCAGGCAAGTCCGAATCACTGTGATTAAGCCATCTTCAGACATTTTCACATTTTAAACCCTGACCTCTATTATTTGCTGTGGAGAGAATTACTAGGTCAGAGTAACGCCTCTCAGTATGGGATTAAAACATGCACTTTGTCCATGTCCACGGATTTTGTAATACAATCCTTTAGCAATCTGGCAACATTTCTGGCTTTGTTAGCTGGGGCATTGCTTAGGAAAATTCCTGTGCAATACTCTTGTGGTCTGATCCAAACCCCTTTGGAAACAATAAAAAGGCTTCCAAGGGCTTAAGGCATGGACAAATGAGGTTCATGCAAAGGCTGAGCCCCGGCAGGTGAAGCAGGAGGCAGGCACTGGTGGGAAATTGCAGCGTGGCAGATGCCAACAGGCTCACAAGCTCATCTCAGTTGTGTCCTGAAATGTGCTTTTAATTCCCACAAGGGATGGGGTGGGATATGTCCTAGTTTCAGATGGGCTGGCATTATTACACATTGCTTTCAATTTAGTAATCATTTCTTTATTTAGTAAAAATGGTACAATCACGGAATGTTAAGGGGTTTAATGGACCTTAAAAATCATGTAGTGCCAACCTGCCCTGCCATGGGCAGGGACATCTACCACGGGCAGGGACACCTACCACTAGACCAAGTTGCTCTGAGCCCCATCCAACCTGACTTTGAACGCTGACAGGGTTGGGGCAGCCACAGCCTCCCTGAGGAACATATTGCAGTGTCTCACCAACCTTACAGTGGAAAATTTCTTCTTAATGTTTACCCTAATTTTTTCCTCTTTTAATTTGTACCCATTACTCCTTGTCCTGTCACTACAGCTCTTGATGAAAAATCAAGGCAGCTTGAAGTTTCCAATTGTCCTTGTATCTGTGGCTTCTGTGAAAATGCATGAGGAAGGAGAAAGGATTTTAAAGGAAAATCCCTTTTTTCCTCTGACCCTTCTCTATGGTTATGCACTGGCATAGACAATGAGAGGTCTTGTGCCCACTCAAGAGAAATGGGAATTCTGATTAAAGCCCATTAGTCCTTCAGGCTGCACAACTCCCTGACAGCCCTGGATGGTACCGAGTGCTCCAACATTCCCAGACAGCGCGGGGCAAAGCTGCAGCCGAGAGAGGCACTGCGGGATGGGGGACACGGGCTGACCCCTCCCAAGGGGCTGCAGCAGAATGTGCCCCTTTGTGGCTGGAAGAGAGAGGGTTCCTGCCATGAGGCTGGGCTTCAGCGGCACTTCAGGGACACGAGGGGCCAGAGCGCTCGTGGGAGCAGGCCCGCTGCCATCCCTCTCGAGCTACCGCGTTCCGGATGGGCAAGGAGGCCACTGGCATCCTGGATTGTATCAGGAGCAGTGCGACCGGCAGGACCAGGGCAGTGACTGTCCTTTGGCACTCTGTGGTGCGCTCACAACCTCACCGCTGTGACCAGCGCTGGGCCCCTCAGCTCCAGAAGGACATTGAGGGGCTGGAGTGTGTCCAGGGAAGGGCAACAGAGCTGGCAGAGGGTCTGCAGCACCAGGAGCAGCTGAGGTTGCTGGGGGTGTTCAGCCTGGAGTAAAAGGAGATCCAAGGGGGATCTTACAGCTTTCTAGAACCCCCTGAAAGGAGGCTGTAGCCACGTGCGGGTCGGTCTTTTCTCCCACGAAAGCAGCGAAGGGAAGAGAGAAAATGGCCTCAAGCTGCAGCAGGGGAGGTTTAGGTTGGACATCAGGAAGTTTTTCAGAGAAAGGCTGATTAGACGCTGGAATGGGCTGCCCCGGGAAGCGGTGGGGTCACGGTCCCTGGAGGTGTTTGAGGGAAGCCAGGTCTCAGCTCTCAGGGCGCTGCGGGGTCACGACCCAGCCCTGGCGGCCCCGCGCCCTTCCCTAACCCCATCGACCCCGGCAGTCCCGGGGGCGAGGCTGCGCATGCGCCCCCTCGGCGCGGCCCCGCCCCCGAGCCAGCGGGCGGCGTTGCCGCGGGCGCGCGCAGGAACATGGAGGCGGCGGCGCGGGAGAGCCGGGCGCGCCGGGCGGCGGGCGCGGGGCGGTAGCGGCTCCCGGCCGCCCTCCCTCCCTTCAGCCCTCCCTTCCTTCGCTCCCGCCCCCTCCGCTCCTCCAGCGGCGGAGAGAGGCGGCCCGCCTGCCCCCCCGCGCAGGGCATGGCGGCCCCGGGCCCTCCGCGGCTGCCCCAGCTGCGGCTGGGCCCGCGGCTGCGGGCCGGGCTGGAGGTCGCGCTGCGGGTGCCGAGCCTGTTCCTCATCGACGCCATCTTCAACTCGGCCCCGCTGCCGGGCGGCTCCGTGAGCGCCGCGCTGCTGGGCGCGCTGCTGCGGCTGCTGGGTGAGACACCTTCCCTTCCTCCCCTCCCGAGAGACACGGACCGAGCCCCGCCGGCCCCGCTCACAGCCGCGGCCGCCGCTGCTCCCCGCCCCTCACCCGCCGCCCGGCTGCTGCTGCTGCCGCGGCCCGTCTCTCCCCTTCCCTCGTCCCCGATTCCCGTCCCCACCGGCTCTTCTCTGCCACCGCCGAGCCCCTGCTCGGCCGCCCGGGCTGGATCATCACCTCGCCCCCTCGTGCCCCGCTCTGGGCCCGGTTCACCCCCCCGGTCTATCTCCCCGTCTCCTTCCGCCTCCTCCTGCCGCCGGAGCGGTGCAAGGACCCGCCGAGGGCTCGGGGCTGCGACCCCCCCTCCTACTCTGGGGGCTTCCAAGGCGGAAGAATGTGGCTTAGTGGGTACAGGGTTTTCATGTGGTTTTTTAAACCTTTTGGATAGCGTGATGTCTTCCTGAAATACGCTGTTAAAGCCTTATTTTAGCAACAGCAGTTCAGAAGTGCCGGGAATTTGGTTCCCAGAGGAAAGAGAAGCCTCTTGAAACTTGCCAATGGTTATTTTCAAGCTTTTTTTTTTCTTCCCATGATGGATGAAAGTCAGTGGTATAACTAGGTGATACTGTTTCCAATATCGTTAACTTGGGTTCTTACAGAGCCTCGGCTCAGTGGGAGTCCCGTTCAGTGGCTCAGTGAACTGCTGTACAGGTGATACTTTGCTGTGTGTCACATTTTGGAGCTGGCGATCGTGAGGAAGGAAGGAGAACACAAAACAAATCAATTTGTTGTTTCGGTTTTATTTGGTTTTTTTTTTTTTTTGGAGCTGGCGATCGTGAGGCAGGAAGGAGAACACAAAACAAATCAAATTGTTGTTTCGGTTTTATTTGTTTTTTTTTTTTTTGCAGGCCCGAGAGAGATGGATTTTATTTGACGTTTATAGTAGAAGAAAAACAGGAAGGAAATAGGTGGTACAGCTTTTGGGGCAGGAAGCAGAGAAGAGAGAGTTAAAGGAAATGTGCAGAGTGAGAAGTGTGGTGTGACTGCATCACACAATTCGAGGAGCAGAGGGGGAAAAAGTAAACAATAACCTATAGCAAGAGAGCAGGAGAGCAGAGCGAAGGGAGGAGGTAATAAAACGCAGCAGGCATTTTATTTTGATTTTTTTACATTTATTATATGTTTTATGTTTATTATTACTTTGGTTAAGGGTGCCAGGGGGAGTCCGTGCTCACGTGTGAAGTGATGCTGAGGAGGCCCCAAGTTGCCTCCTGTGCCACGGGTATGGAGTGCTCCAGGATGGGGAGCAGGGGTTCCTCCCCCCTGCTTCCCATTTTCTTGACCTTTTGTTGAACACTGATGGAATTGCTAAGAGTGATAATTCCTTTTTAAAAAGATTACATTGCAGTGCCTCACCAACTTAATTTTAGGAGCCCTTCATCACATGATCCAGATGCTGCAAGAGGAATGTCAAAATTAATCCCACCTGTGTAAATGAGTGGTGGATGCGTTGTTCAATGATGTCCCTTAAGTGTATGGTACTGGGATTAACAGATTAAGCCACTTTTGAGGTTTGCATTTATATGAACGCTTCTCTGGAAGGGGTTGGGGGAAGAAGTGGGTAATTTTTGCCTTCTGCAAAAAAAGCTTTAGGAATGTTTTATGCCAAGAAACTTATCTTGAACATTTAGAAAAGGGGTTGGTGGTTCTTGGCTTTCCAAAATTGAAATTAAAATGTAGGCACCTAAAGATGATCTTAAAACAGCTTCCACGTGGTTCAGACAACAGAGTGCTTTTGCATGTTTTTTTGTCATCTGAATTTAAGGATTACAGGGTTGGGTTTTTGCTGCTGTTAGGAAAGTGATCTAGTTATTTTGTATTATTTTGTATTTAAATAGTGGGAAAATGTCCTTTTACTTACCATTTGCAGACTTTGAAGTACTGATCCAGACTTTCCCTGTAGCACAATAGCACAGCATAAATGGACAATCTGTTCACCAGACACAAAGATTGAAGCTCTGGAGAGATTGATGATTTTTGGAGGTGATGTTAAACAGTTCTGAAATATTCTGGGAGTACAACTCTTCAGGAATGCTAATAGAGATCTGCGTGGGTGTTACAAACTTTTACAGCAGGATTCCTTGGTCTGATTCTTCCATCACTCTCTACTCAAGTAAATACACTTATGCATGGCACAGAACCAACTTCCACAGCTGGAGCACGTTTTCTTTCATGTTTTTGGTTAACCTTGCTTTGTCCCCAGCACAATGTTTACCTTTTGTATCTTTGCACTGGGTTTAAGTATCTCAATTCCAGCAGAACCACCACCCCCAGGAGTGTGTGACTGTCACCTCAGACAGCAGTCCCTCCTCAGTGAGGACACTGAGTTTTAGAAGGGTTCTATAAATACTTGAGTCTGCAGAAAGATGTGGAAGTAAACAGAATGACTGGAGCTACGGAAAAATAGTTTGGCAGTTCCACATGAATGAAGTGCTGATGTGTAAAAGTGATTGTCCCCTGCACATGGCTGAAAGTCGAATCCTAAGTGGTGGGCTGCTATAAAGATACTGAAAATTTTCAGGATTTAAAGGAAAAAAATGAGACAGAGACATTCATTGTAACACAAGAAATTATTTTAAAAGTAAGTGCAGCGTGGTTTGGTTCAGTGCTGTGTTTGGAGGCCGTCCTGGGACAGCTGGCAATAGGGTGGCACAGGTAGAAATAGTAAAGACGACTAGAGAGACAAACCTTATCAAAGGAGGAACTGCAGCACTTCCTAGCAGAGGGAAAATGTAAAAATACTTACTGTTTTGAAGGGCAAATGGGGATGGCCACAGGGTAGGGCAAAGTTTTCTTGTGTTGCGATGGACTAAGTGACATAAATGGAGATGGGGGAAAGGAGTGCTCACTGTCCCTTCTGAGATCTGTTACCTCTTATGGTGACTCTTGACTTTTCCCAATATGTCTTAACAGAGACTTGGTGTACTTTTTGTTAGTGCCTCTTCAGAGGAACCAGTAGGACGAGCTCTATTGACTCACTGTTGTACTGTTTTTAGAGATGTGTCTTGCATGTGAAACGTCAGTGTTTTAAGATGACCTGCAGTATCTAAATACAGGCCTGTTACTGCCACTGCAAGGCACAAAAATAGGTTTTGTTAAGGCGTGTTTCAGAGCAGCCTGCTTACTGCACAATGCATCTCCTTTGGCTCAAATGATCAGAATTACATAAATAACGACCTTGTACAGACATGTGAGCCTTTTCTCTGCCTTCTGAGAAAAGACAAAGGCTACAAACTCATCAGCAGTATTGGCTTTCCTAAAGATGTTTGTGGTGGTTAAAATGACAAGGCAACTGTCAAGCTTATTTTGTAGAAAGTGCTGCATAGAACCAATATTCAGGCTGGAAGAACTGAGCTACGAGGCAAGGGCCTTTCTGAAAACTGATAGAGGCTTTTCCTCAGTCCACTTCACAAGATTACCAGGTTAATGATTAATTAAGTGGAATATGTTTGTATCAGCCAGTGTTACTGGCAAGAACTATTATTCAGGCAAATTCATAACTTTATTTGTAGCCTGCCTTTTGCAGTTGATTTGTGTTGGTCCTCCCCCCTCTCAATCCTCCAGGATGTGAAGGTAGTTTTTCCTTTTTTTGTATATTTTTGTATGTCTATTACAAAGATTATATTCTCATGATCAAGAGGCTATGGCTTAATTTTTTTTTAAAACACTTGTTTATGGTGGATTTAGAACAGCCTAAACTACAATTGTCAGAAAAGACCAACACTGTCCTCCAGCAGAAAGAGGATTACTCTTGATTTCATTAGTTTTAATACAAAGATTGAAAGCAACTTACAATCAAATATAAGTTGTAGAGATCGAAATGTCTCCAAACTGGTTTGGATGAGAAAGCAGTTGCATGGAGTGGATGCTGATTGAGAAGTCCAAAACAAAGGCAGTGTGTTTCCTGAAAAAGAAACTGTTTAAGGAAATTAATCAGGTGCTAATTGCCATTTAATTTAACACCTCTTAGGGCAGACCCCTTACCTATGTAGTGATGGAATTAACAAATTAGACTACAGAAGTTTACTGCAGGGGCATGTAACCCCAAACTCCCAATGCTGCAGTTGCTCTGATAGGATTTCTTACAGGAAGGTGCAGACGTCCCAGGCATGGTCAAGATGTGGTCACGGTCAGTATGAGGGAGAGGTTAGCAAACAGGAATTTCAAGGACTAAATCTGACTTCTAACAAGACAGACAAGTTTGCACTGGCATTGGCAAAGAGGCAATTGGTGCGGTTTTGGATTCTGTGCACAAAAGCTGTATACTGTGGAAGGTCTTCCTCATGTGACCTTTATCACCACTCTCACCAGAAATAAAAGCAAACTGAAGGGAAATAGAACTGCCTTCCCCACAGCAAACTACAGCAATTTTTCACTATTTTCCCATTAAAGAGTTTAACTAAGTGTTTTGGTTACTTATCTTTAGTACTCTAACGTGGACAGCTATAGTTGAGTGCAAGGGAATTAGGGGACTTACTAAATCTTACTCATTTATTCTTTCTTAGTTTTGCTTATAAAGGTGATGCTTTATCTGTTGGGTTTTTTTTGTTTATTTTTAGAACTCGTCTACCTTTGGATTTCAGGACTGAGGCTGAAAGGCTGGGAGTTGTCACTGTTCTAGTCTAAAACTGCAACAGACTTCATAGTAGTTGTGATTTAGGGCTTGCAGTGGCTTTGCATCACAGCTGTAGTGCACAGATGTTAAATTCAGAGATTAACTCGTCCTCTTGCCTGTCCTCTGAAAAGGGCACCACTGGTAATGCAAAGTTACAGGCGAATAATGGGGAAGTGATACAATATATAAATGTAGCTCCAGAGCTATAGGTTAAAATCTGTTGTTGAACTTCTGCTGAGAACTAAATGATTTCAATCTGGTTTTAGGTGTCTTTGTATCCAGCGTTGTTCTGGTCTTACAACAGCGAGCACTTTTCAAGTTCTACATGATCGCCTCAGCGTTTCTGCTGGCTGCAACTTCAGTGTTGGTGAATTACTATGCTGCTTTGCACATAAACTTCTACAGTGCCTACAACACAGCTGCATTCGGAATTCAGATTTTCCCACATAAAGGACCTTCGCTATGGATGGCACTTTCCATCCTTCAGCTTACCTTTGGAATTGGATATGTTACCTTGCTAAACATGCAATCCATATACTCTCAACTCATCATCCTGGATATACTGATTCCTGTAATTGGCTTGGTTGTTGAATTACCTTTAAATGTCCGGCAAGTACTTGTTTTTATTTCAGGCCTAGTTCTGACACTAAATACCACAGCCATTTTAGCTACAAAAATTAAGTGGTTCTATTATTCGGTACGATACGTTTATCTGCTGGTGAGGCACATGTATCGTATTTATGGATTACAGCTATTGATGGAAGATACATGGAAAAGGATTCGGTTTCCAGCTGTACTGCGTGTCTTTTGGCTGACAAGACTTACCGCACAAGCTGTGGTATTAACTTATGTAGTAAAGATGGCTGAAAACAACACGGAAGAAAAATTCTTCTTGATATCGTGGGATAACTGTTGGGAACTGATTTGCAGCCTGATCATAAGTGGGTGTGACTCTACTTTAACTGTATTGGGCATGAGTGCCGTCATTTCCTCAATAGCGCATTATTTGGGACTTGGTATCCTGGCCTTCATTGGGTCAACTGATGAGGATGACAAAAGGCTTGGGTTTGTAGCACCCGTCTTGTTTTTCATTTTGGCTCTGCAGACTGGTTTAAGTGGACTGAAACCAGAGGAACGATTAGTTCGCCTGAGTCGAAACATGTGCCTTTTGTTGACCGCAGTCCTGCATTTTATCCATGGAATGACAGACCCCGTGCTGATGTCTCTCAGTGCCTCCCATGTGTCATCGTTCCGCAGACACTTTCCTGTACTGTTCGTCTCCGCTTGCCTTTTCGTTCTTCCAGTTCTGCTCAGTTACATCCTCTGGCACCACTATGCACTAAATACTTGGCTTTTTGCAGTCACAGCGTTCTGTGTAGAGCTTTGCCTAAAAGTAATAGTTTCTATCACTGTTTATATATTGTTTATGATTGATGGCTACTATAATGTGCTATGGGAAAAACTTGACGATTATGTCTATTACGTTCGCTCAACTGGTAATATTATTGAGTTTATATTTGGAGTAATCATGTTTGGAAATGGAGCTTACACTATGGTTTTTGAATCGGGAAGCAAGATTCGTGCTTGCATGATGTGTCTGCACGCGTACTTCAACATCTACCTGCAAGCCAAGAATGGCTGGAAGACTTTTATAAACCGCCGCACTGCTGTGAAGAAAATCAACTCGCTTCCAGAGGTGAAAGGAGCTCGGTTACATGAAATTGATGATGTCTGTGCAATCTGCTACCACGAGTTCACCACCTCTGCGCGCATTACTCCATGCAACCATTATTTCCACGCACTTTGTCTTCGGAAGTGGCTGTACATTCAGGACACGTGCCCGATGTGCCATCAGAAAGTGTATATTGAGGACAAAGAAAATGCCAATATCTCTAACAACAACGGGTTTGTAGCACCAAATGAAAATCCTGTACGGGTTGCAGAAGAAGCTGCTGATGCTGAAAATGAATTAAATGAAGATAATGACAGTTCAGATAGCGATGAGGAAGATGGAGACTGTGTGGCACAGCACTTGAATGAGACTCTTAATGTTGACTCTAACTCTCTTGGTGATTAGGGTGTCCCTTACTAAGCCGTGAGGTATTTGTTCAAGATTGACTCCAACAGAATAAAAGTATCACTTTGTAGTTATTGTACTTAAGCACAACAGCAGTATCTCAATGTTGAGTCTGTGAATGGTGGTTGTTTACTGTGGTGTGTGCTACTGTAAATATACCTCTAATTTTTGCTGGTCTCTTTCATGACCACCTTAAAATTATGTACATTATTGTACATGGAATAAAATGTTTTCACGTTTTTAAGATGGTTGGAAAAACACTCTTTAATTGATGTAGTGATAATGCTGTGCCAAAGACTGTATACCAGTAATCCCCAATCAATGTCTTCTGGACGCAAATGAAAAATACTGGTGAAAACAGACTGTTCAGCCGGTCAACTCGGAAAATGAAAGCCTGAGCCAAAGCAGCTTTACTTACAAATTCAGTATTAGCAGAGCTTTACTGCAAAAAACTAGTGAGTTGTGTTTTTAAAAAGAAAAAAAAAATTAGGTTGTTAGACTTAATGCTATAGCATTTGCGTATGTGGAACAAAAGGCGACAGTGCTCAGCTTTCTGGTGAAGCAGCAAAGCGCATGCCATGGACGTGTCCAACCCTCCTGAACTGCCAGCAGTAGCTTGAAGTGCTTTACATGTGAGTGCAGCAGCCTGGTGCTCATCCTGTGCCTCCACTGCTAACTGGAGTTACAGGCATGGCCTGGCCTTGAAGTGGATCCTGAATCTTGATGAAAGGGGAACAGGGCTGAGAAACTGCACAAATGCAGACCACCTTTTCAAAAGCAGCTTTAATCTTGTACCAGAGAAAACCCCAAACCCACTACACATTGGCTTCCATTGATTAGAACTTGCAGGAATGATGATTTTTGCAATATCTTTAAATTTTTGCAATATCTTTACTGAAGTTGTGCTGAATAAATGTAAGAAAAACAACTTTACATATTTGGAAAGAAGACTTTAATGGTGTTGTTATATAGAGTATTGGCCAACTCAAGTGGGTCATCTTCTCTTACTGCCGCCATTATTTCCAGTATTTGACTAAAAAAGAAAGATTTATATTAGAAGACTGAAACCCAGTACTTCAGAATGTACTTCAGATTGCTGCATGTGTATGTACAACTCACTAAGATTAAGCTGGAATAAAAACCTACACTAAGAGCAATAGGGCAGGGTGCTCAGATATGCAAATAGCTTCACTTTAAAGTTACTAACTGCCATTTCCTTTCCACTGAACACTGGTTTGCTTACTGGTACAGATTCCTCTTTGGTCTTTTGACTCTTGTTTGGAGGTAATTAAACAGCTTTCTGTTTTGAAGGAAGTGTCATTTTGTGGGTGTCTTTATCAATGATCTTCATTTTTCAAAGAAAAATTCATTAGCCTGTCAAGGCTAAAGCTGTACTGTGAATAGACTGGTCTACAGTAAATCTTAAATTCCAGACACAGCTTTATCAGAGCACAGTACTGCCAAAGTAACTTACTCCTACTTCCCCATTCTTTAGCTTAATTGTGATTAATGTGGCCAGGTATTTGCAGTAAATATTAAATGAGCAATTTCAAAAGGCTCAGGGCCTTGATACAAGCCAGGAAGAGGAGGCAAAAGAAATGGGATGAACATGATTAAAACAAAGCCACAACCTTTTCTCTGAAATTGCTTTCTTGATTTTGTATCAATCAGTCATTCTTTAAAAAAAAAAAAAATAATATTCTGTATCCTTCCAGAGATGTGTCATACTTTGATTTTTCCAGTAGCAACAAAAAAACTTCAAACTTCACTTTGGAGAGTAAGAAGCTTAAGCTTGGTGGTAAGGTTTGGTGAGCTTTGGATTTTGCCTCTAAGCTGAGGCAACTGCTAAACTTCTTTTTGTGAAAGACAGCATAGGAGAAGTTGCTCTTAATAATTACTTTACTGCAAATATTTTCCTAGATGCAGAATTAGCCAAACAGCTTCTTGATTTAAGAGGATATTCCAGATGGAGTGAGATCAGGCCTACATAGAAGTAAGTAACAAATGCCAAAGAATTTCACCCAAGAAGACTTAGGGCTTACTTCTCTCTCCTCACTTGGATGCAGTAGAAGGCTGTATGTTACTGTAACACTGTGTGTGTGAAACTGCTGAAGGAGAAAAGAGAATTCTCTTGTGGCTAAACTTTTAAAAACATAGCTTCCAAGGGGAGTAGTTCTAAATATATATATATATATGAAGCAGAAATACCACTGTCAAAACTGAAAGGTGTGTAGCACCACCAAAAACAGACAAATGGAAAATTCCTCCTGCCAACTGTGCTGCATTAAACTGTATATATACCAGAAACATTAAAGACACTTTGTGGACTGAGAAACATTCCCTCACACCAGATTTTGCTACTTAAGAAGTCACAAAATACCAATTATCAGTTACCATTCTTCATTTTTCTTAAGGTTTAAAAGGTTCTAGAAATTCAAATGCTTATACTGAACATTACTGGGTAATAATTTCAAAGGTTGAGCCAAACAATACTTTTTTTTCATAAAAGAAGGCAAAAGCCAAAGCGCAGCATTTGGGTAATGATCTTGAGTGCATCTGTGCACTCTGCATCTATGCAGAACAGACTGTGCATTTCCAGTTTGGGGGTTTCTGAAACATTTCTGTAAACTACAACCAAGGCAGCAGAAAATAAGTGGGGGTGTTGTTGACATACGGCTTGGTTGAAACAGTAACAGTAGAGGCCCTTCACTTGTGATCAGAAGAGTGTTTTCTACTGATCTCTTCCCCCACTCCAAAATCATGGACTAATCCTAGAAAGTCTTAAAATACTGAAGCAACCCTTTTGTGCTAATGTGTCCTCTTCACTTAAAAAAAAAAAAATATATATTTTCAACGAGTATTGCAATTGGCCTAATTGCATTGAGTACATCTGAACACTAGGAGATGTCACCGTGTAAGCTTAAACTGTGCATTCACATCATCAGCAGTTTTCCAAGTTCCTTCATGTCTCAAAAAGCATCAGAATTCCCTTCACTTCTCAAATGAATTCTTGTTTAGACACTTTACTGCATACCTGGATCTTTAGTACTATCCTGAGCAGTATTTCAAAATCTAGACAGGGAATCCTGAAAATTCAGTATTTCATCTATTAATGGTATTTAATGCAGATAACTAAATATTTTCACTAAAACAATTACACATTTTGCTGCTTTTCACACTTCTGTGAGGAACTGTGTGGAAAGGAGGCAGAAAACTGTGTCTGTGCTTACCAATTCTGTTCATAAGCCGCTGGAGTTTTCTTTTACTACTCTGTATCTTGGCTGCTGTCATTCATATCTGAATTTCACAGAATCAGATTCTGTGAAGTACAACAGCAGAAGGAAGAAACATCCCTGACAAAATGCATGTTGTGGCAGTTCATGTCACAGGCCTGTGACAGCAGCAGTGCCACAGGCACTGGCGGTGCCTCAGCACTGTCCCACCTGTGGGACTGTCCCCTGATCCCCAAGGCTGGATCAGTTTTAAATATTACCTGAACAACAAGTGAGTGAAATGAATATTCAAGTCAGGTTACTCCAGAGGGTTTAACCTCTTCTACAGTACATCCAGTGAAAAAATAAAAACGGTACTGGTTTCACTTTCAGGGAGCATTGTACATACACAATAGCTAGCATAGGAAAATTAAGATGTCTCATTTTTTCCACAACCTATAAAGCAAAACCTTGCACAAGTTTCAGTACATTTAGAATTAATTTCTATTTTCTACATTACTAGTGAACTGGGATTTTTCTGGTTTTTTTCATGTCAGAGTTGAAGTATTTAAAATAAGAGTGCAGTGGTACACTTACATTATATGGCAGGGTTCATTTCTGTCCTTCAAGCAGTGCCCTTTTTCCCATTTCTTTTTCGTAGGAAATGTAGTTTTAATGTATTTTGATCCAGCATGAGTATTTTTCACTCCACACCAAGGTGCATCTAGTTTAATTTGAATAAAAGAATTAGCAGTGCAATTTTCAGGAATGCAAGTTTCAGAGTAGCATGAGATAGTTTGATCAACTACTTCTACAGACAAAAGCTCCTGCAATCTCCTTCCAGCAACAGTGACCTCCAGCTCAAAAGGAAATTTAAGAGATCTGAGACTATTTAACATCTTGGATTTTTATACCATTATCTTCAGGATTTTACACTTGAAAAGATCAGCAGTAATAATACATAACGCTAATTTCCTCTGACATGACAACGACAGCCAGATACACTGCATGTGTTGCACAGAAACTTCCTGTATAACCGGTCTGTACTTCACGTGCAAATAAATTTGAGGATTTAGCAGTTTGCAATTTTCCTTTCTCAAGAGTCAGAAATTAAAATAAATACTGTGTTTGTAACTGTCAGTTGATAACCGAACATGAAAAAAGAAAACACGACATCCCTGGTCAGTGGGCTAAGAGGGGAATTCACACATTCTTCCACCTATTCCATTTAAAGAGCAGTTGTTTCCAAATGCCATTACTGCTGCCAGTGGCTAACTCATAGCCATTACCCTGTGCTTGGCACATCTCCAGCAAGCTACATTTTAAAAGATACTTAAGCAGGATTCTGGTACATTAAAAAATCCAAGTTGTCAATTTGTCCTTTTCATCTTCCCCTGCAATGTCAGGAACTGACACAGCAGCTTATTCCTTCCAGCAGAAGGCTGGAAAGGAGTAGTTCTGTAAATTGCTTTCTCAAGTAAGAAAACAGCCATTGTTCTGAATTCTTTAGGTCTTGATTCTGCTTTGTGATTGCTACACCAGTATGTCTCATTGCCCATTGTCACAAACTGACCAAGATGTAAAATCTTACCAGTCTCTATCATTAATCGTTCACTAGGAATTGATTTCATTGTTTCCAAGTTGGCTTCTGTTTTCAGTGAACTAGAAAATTTAGAGTTTGGTTAAAAAAACCCATAAAAAGCATATTAAAGTAATTACTCTGCCTATTAAAGTGTTTTGTAGCAAAGGCAGCTTCCTAAATAATTTTGTTAATTAAATTTGCTTCCTTCTTTAACAATAATGCCTGTAAATTAAAACTGTGCAGAAAACAACAAATTTGGAGTTAGTGGGAGAAGCCATCTCACCCCAGTAAGCTGCAGAACCCCTTTGGCTGCCCTTGCTTGCCTGGTGACAGCCTCTGTACCTTACAAAGTGGTGCTGGCTGGCACTTGGCCAGGTGACTGCTGAGAATCCAAACTGCATAACCAGGAGATGAGGCACTCAGGTTACATTTGCATTACACCAGCATTTGACAGGCAACTTAAGGTCAGGCTGTTTTTTAAATGCTCCTCAGAAGGAATCTTTCCATGCTCAACAACCTTACTTAATTACAAACAAGGATTGTCCTGAGGGCAGTAGAGTGGACGTTGATTAGCTCACCAAGCTGCAAGAGCTTTGATGGCTAACAAACTAATGTGAGCAATTCTAAATCTGTCAGATGATGAAGGGTCTAGTGAGCTTTGAAAACCTGACCTCATTGTTTAAAAGAAAGCAATGAGTTCACTACAGCTGCCATTTTAAAGCAGTTGTATTTCTTGTAAAGAACTTACCAGCCATTTATTCCGATATAAAGATCCAAATCTATTAGAGCTGCTGCTTGTTCCTTTGTGCCATCAAAAGAATGTACCTAGAACATATAAATATAATACAAATGCACTTTTAATAAAACTCCAATCATTCCAAAGTATGTATTACCTTTTATTAGCATCAAATACCTTCAACAGTATGCATTACACATCATTACAAACATCAAGATGGGACATGGCTCAGTTGATTCTGAATTTGAGCAAAGTTCAGGCTGAAGTCACCTGAATGCTGCACTAGAAATGGTTACCACACTTCAACAGTGAAAAATATGTTGGCCCTGGAACTCCCTGTAAGTGGTGACTGGGAGATCATACTCAGGAAGCAATCCTGTGCATGCTGAATTTTTAGATTCTTTCCTCAGTATTCCCTTCACGGCACTGTCAGGGCCACCCATAAGAGCAGTATTCTATTCTCCACAGGTGTTAGTCCACTGGAACTAGCAAGACAGTCCACTTGGTCATTCCAGAGAGGAAAGTGGAGGGTCACAAGTTACACAAGTGTAATGCAGCTGGGAACTGCATCTTCTCAGCCTGAGTGGAGCAAAGAGACTGCGCTGCTTCCCTGTGCTGTGACAGGGACAGGCAGTTGCAGAAGATGCCTGCTCCTTTCCCCCCTCTTTCTGGGCTGTGCAGGAAAAAAGGGAAGAAGGAAGGAGAGCCTTCACAGCACTACATAGGACATTACACATGCAAAGCACTGAGCATGGGGAGGGTTTTGTGGGAACAAAGGACAAACCTGGAGACTGCAATATTCTCGTAGGAGGTGTGGTCTCATGCTAAAATCACAAGCATTTATTACTTTTGAAAAATTCAGTCATAATGGAAACCTGAAAAAGCATTCCTGGACTTCCCTTTTCACCCGAAGCTTTTCCTGTTAGACTTTAGAATTAAAAGATGTGATCTGAATATCTAAAGACAAAGTAATCAAAAGTTCCATCTGGATCTAATTTGAAAACGATGTCCAACGTCAGAAGCAAATGTCTGAAGTTATGGCTTCCACTGGGAACATGCATGTAAATTGTCTGTGGTCTGAATGCATTGCAGCTACAGCCACTGAGGAGTTGGGAAAAGGCCAATGTCAATTAGGAGGTGCTTAGACTGTCCCTGCTGGCAAGCCAAGAACAACTGTTCACATCAGCTGCAGAGCTTTTTCTCAGCCTATCTTCTTACCTTGCAAAAATCCTGCCAAATAAGCAATGAAAATAAAAATAGTAAAAGGGACTGGAAAATGTACTAATTAATAACAGCTTAAATGATGTAACAGGAAGCCTGCGCAGATTCCATGACAAACAAGAAATTGCATATTAAGCAACAATATTCACACACATGCATGGAAAAATGAATGCTACACTGAAGTCCATACTTACCACCCCTCCTACAACTCTATCTCTGTTTCTTCTCATTATGTCTAGGAAATGAAATAAAAACATAAAACAGCTTTATAACAGATGAATATAGCATATTTTTATATTCAGAATTTGCTCTAAATATTAAATTCTCAAACAAAACCCACCTAAAAATTCAGCATGTGCATTTCTACAGTGCAGAAACATGGGCAGCTGCATCTGTTCTGATAAGTCAAATTGTTTTTCAAAATACCTGTAAAATAAAATTCACCTTTAAAGAGAAACTCAGTGTTAAGAACAAATAAAGACAGTAAAAGATTTTTTACCCAAGCTTCTGTCCTCCAGAGCTAAAGACAGAATTAATGGATTTGCCATGCAGAAGTTCTTATTTGTGCAAGGATTTAAAATAACCTCTTTCCCATGTGTATTGCCACAGCTATGATTATGCTTGAAGACCATAGTAAGGTACCAGGTAAGTGGCTAAGAGCGTCAGAACTGCATAATCTGTAAGCAGAATACTGCAGAATGTATATGTATACATGCAGAGCACATACTCTTGCGTAGTGTGGGTGCTGGAGTTAATTTTTTTAATTTATTTCTTTTTAATGGAAGAGGAACTGACTGTTCTTTCCACAAAGTTCTGAAATGTCAGGAATGGAAGAGCGAAGATGACAGAGGCTACTATTTCAAGAAGCCCTCATAAAAACAATGAGGGCGAGCAGGGGAGCACTGTGCAGGCTTCTACAGCCTCCAGTGGCCAAACTGCATCAGAGCTGCTGACCTGTGAGTAACAATCCACTCTCCTGGGGTGAAACAAATACCAGATTGACATCATACTTCTGCCTATTGTCTTTACGTGTTCTCCCTCCCTCCCTCTGTGTTCCTGCATCCTTACTTTTCCCTCTCCAACTTTGTACTCCTCAGAGCTGCTCTTGATGGGGTGGTAACAGGGAGGCCCCACCCTGTGAAGAGACACTGGAATGTGGGGAGAAGGAAGGTAAGAAGGTAGCCAGGCTCCCCAGTGCAATTGTCAAAGGAAACAACTTAGCACTGAACTAACCTGTGCTTGTCATTAGCAGCGAGCTCTGCAATTACCATTCCACATCTCTGTTGCCCTGCTCCACCCAGGGAACACAGCAGAAGAACTTAAGCATGGCAGAAGGCCAGCAGTGCGTGGGTGACTCAGTGTCCTCACGCTGTTTGAAAGATGATGTTACTACTTGGGTGAAGCAGGAGAACACTGTCCATCCCAGCAGGCTGGGGCTCTAGGCACATACTGGATTTCTTGAGGTGCTGCTGTTAAAACACAGTCCAGGGCACTGGGAAATTCCCACCATCAGTTATCATACTCATTTCAAAGGAAAACTCCAGTGATCACACACTGCTGCACATGAGTCACTTATCAATCAGGGGAAAGTGCCAGCAAACCATTAGATTGATCTACATTTCCCTAAAAAAAACAACCCAAAAAACTGACCCTAAACAAATATGCAACTGGCCATTTAATTTAATGTCATTTTCACTATTTTCTGTATATTACAAGTTGATATTTCTCAGATCAAAGTTACCTTCCCTTTTAATCAGTGCAAATCTTTGCGATAAAACAGGTTAAACAAATCAGCTGTAACCTTGAAAACTGACATGAAAATTCATGAGAATGAATTACACCTACTTTGAATCTTCTTTGTCTAGATATCATGCTTAGTTTAGCTTGTATGACTAAATATACATTAATTGCAACTCATGATTGCTCTTGTGGTTAAATAGCTACAATTGCTTGATTTTTGGTGTCAGTTTTCTTCTAACAGAATACTTATTTCATATGGGAAAGAGGTTTCAGAGACCGAACTGCAAGTAAACTCCCTAAGTAACCTACTGGCCAATTTCCATCTAATTTTGATTAGGGTAGAGCCCTTGAAAGTACAAAGTTTAGTGCCCCTGCAAATGGAATTATAACTCAAGTTTCTTCCATTCCTAGCAACAACAAAGCCCAACTGAAGTTGTTCCTTGGCCTGTCTAAGAGAAAGGGGAGGTGGATGGGGCAGTTATTGAAAAGACAAAAATAATAATTAAAAAAAAAATTTAAATCCCGACCCCTGGAAAAGCATGAAGAAAATGAAACCAGACATATAGTGACTGGAATAATAAAAAAGTAACTCAGTAGGAAGCCAACCCTGATGAGTTCCAGTGCTTAAGGAACAACCTGTTCCTTTGAGCAAGCTTAGTTTTGACCATCACATTCAAATGCTAGAGGATGAAGACACTAAAGGAGCTAAAGCAAACTGACCTTGCTGAGGTAGATCTCCAGACAAACACTTCTGAATTAATTTGAGTAATGGTGCATGGGATATTGTGATTATGCAGACCCCTCCCATAGTACAGCAGATGTGAAACTTCTATATGCTTACCAGGGCATTTATAACACAGCTTTCACCATAATATGAAGGCTATACCTTCATCTTACTACCATTCAAATCACTGCTTTCTCTTGGAAAAGTTCTGAGAATGGGGAAGATTTTTGAAATAAAAAGTTCTTAGGAACACCACAGCAAAGAAATTTCACCTTTATTAGATTCTTATTAACTTTTATACTGAAAAAAAGCATCAAAAATAATGTACAGGTGAAAATTATCCAAAAGAAAATACAGCATAACTAACCAGAAAAATGTAGATTAAGTACTAAATGAAACAGAGGTCATGCTCTGATATTTGCTGGGAAACAAACATACTGCTCTTCTGTGGGGGAACTGTGCAGCTGCATGCCAGCCCTCCCCAGGACTGCTGCACCTGAACTCCTGAGCAGCTGAAAACCAGCGAACTGGCTCCGTGCATTCCACGCTCTGCCTTGCTCTGTTTAGCTCACTGACCAGGCCTGTCATCTCTTTCCTTACAACTCAATTACAGTGCATCCAATTAGAAGTCACTACAGCTCTTCAGCTGCAGTCCATTGGACAAGGAAATGAGAGATATATTTTTTCTCTCTCTGACATCAAGGCAGTTAAGGATCTTAAAATATGATACTCCATCAGTATTTTAGTTTGCCACAGAAAAGAAACAGATTATGCTCTAAGGTGTGCTTTGCTGAACTTCACGTACATTGAATTCTACCAGGACAAAAAGTCCTGCCCCCTTTGCTGAGTATCTCACTGTCGGTCTGTAGCATTATGAAGAATCCTCCTATTGCTGATATGCAGCAATTAGAAAAAACACAACCAACCACTGCCCCCCAGTGACTAATTTACTCAAAACAGTAACATGCAAATGTAATTCATTAATCACTCATCTTATTTGAATTTATCACCTGTATCTTTCAATCAGTTCCCCCTGCAGAGAGACGTTCTCAACTGAATAATGCAGGCTGATTGCAGGGGCTGTGGTGGCTTCTTTGCATTCCCATCTATGCTGCACCTCCTGAGATCACCTTCACCATCAGCTCCCATTTATCTGCTCCCAGCCAACACCTTCCTTACTAAAAGCTCTTTTTTACCCATTACTTTTATCAGTGCTTTTTACATATGCTTTTGATAGTTCTGCTCCCGTCCTCACGCCTTTCACTTAACAACCCAATTCTTTCACACACTGCATTTATGGGTTTTTTCCCATAATTCTCTTAGAGCTCTTAACTATTAGCAAGAATTAACATCTCTCACACCCAGAAATCCACAATTTCTGGTCAGTTTTACAGAAAAAGACATGTTGACATAAGTCAACACCAGGGAGGTAGCAAAGTTTAGCACATTGCACTACTTGAATGTAGGCATATTTCTTTAAATTCCCATTTCTGCCCAAAAAACCTCTGGGCCCAACCCTGCAAATTTTAGGGCCAGATGTGACAGAACACAAGATAGAAAACTCTACTGTAAATTGCTACAAGCTAATTCACAGTCATCAAAAGTTTCTTACTTGAGTTGGATGTCCTTTGGGCAAAATTCTAATCTATCGAAATCTACAAACAGAAAGAACAAAAATCCCATTTAGTATTTTAGGATTTTTTTTTTAGTATATGTCTAAAAAAAAAAAAAATTGAAGTAGTAAGAGAACACTTACCTAAGCCACATTCTCCAACTGCTATTACCTTTGTCCTATTTTTTTCAATCAGATTTTTTAATTCAGATAAATACTGTTCAGGGCTACTCTGCTCAAATTCTCCACAGCGAGTAGGATGACAACCAACTGTACTGAAAAACATATCTAAAACAAGAGAGTATTAGAAGGTTTTAAGGGAAAAAAAAAAAAAAAAAATTTGTTTAAGGTATAGACAATATCTGCCTCTGGAGGTTTTTTTTCTTGGTCACAATTTTAAAAGAAAACTCCCTTTGACCATATTTATCTTAGTGGTATTTTCATTAGACAGACATTTTCTGCCTTAAAAATGTCAGACAGTATCTCCAGTGGGGGCACGTGCACGCATCTTCTTTTAGTACACGTTATTTGGTGTACTCCAAAACTGCAGCTTAGAGCTGATCTGTTCTGGTGGAGCAGCTCCCAATAAATCATGCAATTCTGGGGCTGGATGAGACCTCTTGAGATCATTTAGAAATTCATATTGTTCAAAGTGCATCAGGTTATCCCAGCTGTAGGAACTGCAGAGAGTATTTTCCTCGTGTGTCCCTGCATAAGCTGTTAGAGAATTTCAGAGCTCACATCTGCCTGATTCACCCAAGTATCTGATCCAGATTACCATGCCAATACTAACATTTCTGCTAAGTGTAAAAGCACTGAGAAAGGGAAAGAACAGGTAAGGCCCTGAGCAACTTGCCCTAATGCTCAAGCCAGCCCTGCCTGAGTGGGGAGGCAAACTGGGTTGGACCAAATTATCTCCTTGAGTTCATTCAAACCAAAATTATTTAGGGTTTCTGTTAGCAAACAGTACTTTATAATGCGTTTTAGTTCAAATACATATTTAAGTAATTATGAAATCTGCCTAAAGAAAAAAGAAGAGCCATTCTCCTTTCACAGAAAGAAAGGAAAAGCCAGAGGAATGATCAAAAGAAAGATACCTCTCTTGATCATCTGTCAAAGGGGTTGGTGAGTAAAAAACAAACAAAAAGCCAACAAACCCCATATATTTCACGACATGTAAACACTATCCTACTTCTAGAACAGAAACTTGTATTAATATTTTTATTCCAGAAATTTTCTATAATTTTTATTTTTATTTAGAAATAGAACATGCAGGAAAAGAGTGATTCCTCCCAACATCAGGGATCTAAAGAGCAACACACAAACTCATACACTATGCATTCATCCCACTCTGAAATGTAATTTCTGATTTTAATCTGAGAGTCTGCAAACACCTCTGAGGCAGATCCTTTTAAACTCAATTCTGAGAGCAGAGAAGGTTATATTTTTGACTGAATGTAAATTTAAAGTGAAAATACCATTTGTCTGTGCCAGCTGCAATGCATCTTTACTATCTTCTAGACTCCCACCTGTAATCAAAAACTTGAAACAAGAAAAGTATTGTCAGTGTGGGTGTTCTTTGAACATCAAACAGAATGTTTAAGAAAACACTCAGATACAAGGAAGGATCTTGACAGAGAACAACAGAATACAATTACTAATACATATACATATAACAAGATTTCATAAATCTGCAATAAATCTCAATGGTCCTCAGGAGCTAGTAAATACAGTAGGCTCCAAAATATGATTTTTTTCCCCTTAATCAAGTATCTTGTATGCTAAGCATTTGAATCACTGGAGGAATAGAATAGTTCAATTTGCAGCAATATTAGTTTCCTCACACAATGACTGAAGACTGTATTTGCACTCAAGAATTGATACTTAAAAATATTTTCCCTGTCCTACAGCTGGGGAAAGTAGACTCCCAAAGACCCAAAACAAGACAGGAATAAGTATTTAAACCAAAAAATGAGTCTGTATCAGAGCTGGGATTACAAATTTAAAACTCCCATCTCTGATCTTTTATTTTTACCTTAAAGTTATCACGTGAGAATTGTTGCCTACAGTGTACTTTTTGAACCACCACTTGCAGAACATTTCACCCTAGGTTGTAACAGCCATGTCTATAGTGGTTTTGGGCAACTCTTCTCCCTGCAGGTGCTATCCAGCAGGCTCTGTCAGCACCAGCTCAAACATTCCCACATTGCCAGGGCACTCATGACAGACAGACAGGCACTTCCCAAAGACATCACTGAAAAATGTTAAGCTGAAAATGGCTCAGTGCATACACGACAGAGAGCAAAACTTCACCAAAAAATTACCATAAAGCAGCAGCTATACAGAAAAATAAAAGTACTTTCTATCAGCAGATTAAGGTTCTAGGCAAGCAGGAACAATGTGTGATTGAACAGGCTTCTGACACTGTACAGGCCAGTAGCAAGACTGAGAACAGCTAAGGGGAGGAACACCTGAACAACATTTCTCAATCAGCTGTGCATCTTGAGAAACTTATGCAGCTAATCTGTTTTTGATGATAAAATTTTTAAAAACGCCACTTATTTTCAGAGGGTGGTATAAAAATTAAATAGCACTTATACAGCACATATAAACGTGACCTCACTCCTGAACTTGCTGCAGCGAGGTAAGTTCTCCATCACAAGTTTGCTTTTGTTGCTTCCCAGTGCATTTCCCACTCTTTTCAGATGAGTTTTTCAACAAACTCCCAAGATGCCTGCTTCTCTGCTACAGGAGTGTTTACTTCTTTATTTCTAATCTGGTAGCCTTAGTAGTGCAGTGGAACAGTTTGTGACAGTATGCACTGTATTCTATGGTAATTCATATTTTTGTCAAAAATTTATTCTATGCTGAAAGTTTACAGAGAAAGGGAGACAGGCTAAACTATGGGATGTGATGCACTGCTGGAAACACCAATTTCAAGTTCAGAGTTATAAATTCTCTCATAATGGTGTTGTTTTAATACATGTAAGCCAGTATTTACCAGCAAACATGCAGATATCTCAACTGTAAGAGTTTGTGGGCACTCCCAGCTCTTCTGCAGTTTCCAATTTCCTTTACACATAGAAATAGCTGAAAACCTCAATCAGAAGAGTTTGATTTTCAGCAGAAATTGTTGATTAAGAATCATAGAATCATTAAGGTTGGAAAAGACCTCCAAGATGACTGAGTTCCACCTCTGACTGATCACTGCCACCTTGTCAACTAAACCAGAGCACTGAGTGCCACATCCAGTAGTTTCTTGAACACTTCCATGGGAAGATTACCACCACTCCCCTGAGCAGCCTGTTCCAGTGCCTGACCACCCTTTCCAGGAAGAAATTCTTCCTCGATGTCCAACCTGAACCTCCCCTGGCAGAGCCTGAGGTCATGTCCTCTTCTCCTGCCACTTCTTGCCTGGGAAAAGAGACTGACCCCCACCTGGCTACAGCTTCCTTTCAGGAGTTGTAAGTGATAAGGTCTCCTGTGAGCCTCCTTTTCTCCCAGTTAAACAACTCCCAGCCCCCACAGCTGCTCCTCATAGGATTTACTCTCTAAAGAGCCACACAGAACATAAGGAAAAGGAATGGTTGCCTATAATACAACATGGAAAATTATGTACCACTTCACTGCAGCAGGTCAAAGGAGAATATCTTTCTGTTGAAACGGTACAAAATAACTTCCACATCCACATCACCTACAATATCACTGAATTCCAACAACCAGCTTCAATAATGATCTGTGCAAATGGAAAGACCATGCTCTGCACAGAACACTTTTGTGTGGTGCTACTGAAGGAAGTTACTGCATTTTCTGTTCAAGTGCCAAAACATTGTTTTAGTGGAAGAGCACTAAAAAACCAAATATTGGAAAGCAGCTTAAAATTTTAATGCCATTTCATTATAAGAAATTACCTTTTTAATGCCAACTTTGACTGCTCTCTCTATTACATCCAGAAGGTCATCTGCAAAAGTTCATAAAAATGTCATAAACTGAACTTGAGGTTTTACAGCATAGTTTAACTACTTTTCAATTTTCATGCAGTCAAAATTTTTATAATTAAATCTTTAAACCACACTTAATTAATCTTTATAAGACAATAACAAAGTGCAGTAACTAGAGATCCAATTTAAATCCAAGAAGTCAGTAGAAGTTTTTCCACATACTTTAGAAGGCTCTCTGCTTTTACATCCATATCTAAAGGTCACAAGAGCAAAAAGCCCCACATTATAATGAGTAACTGTGATTCAGGAATGCAATACTTTGACAGACCACTGTTCATAACTCTCATATCAGTTTTTCAATGCAATCCTAAGTAGATTAGCAATTGTCCATTTTGCTCCAGAAGCAGAGTTACCTGCATGTAAAAAGCAATTAAGACAATGCATTTTGGTTAGGGTGTACAACTTATTTAGTCAGGCTTTCTTTTTTAAGCCGAAGTACATAAGGAGAAGAAAGAAACACTAACATCATGTTCTGACATGCAAGAGGCTTCTAATTCAGCAAAAGGGATCCTGTCTTCCAGCAGATACAAAGAAATATGTACCTTGATGTTTCTGTGTTCCCCTGTAGATTCCTCTGAACATAGGATCTGTCAGGTTAATACCAATATCTGTGGAAAACCAAAGATAGAAATTAGACGTTATAGCTGTTCTGCATACTCTGAATATTAATCAGCTAGGGTAGACAATAGAAACCCTATCTAAACCCTGAACCAGCACATTAGTAAGTAATAAAATGTTTAAGCATAAGCTTACTTGTAAAACTTGAAAACTTACTCCTTACTGGAAGTGACAGAAAAATTAAACTTTTCCCTCTGCGCAACTTCAGACTATCTGTGAGTGCATTATACATACCCTCATAACCACCAAAGTGAACACACACATGCTTTTTATTGCAAGCAAATCTGCTTCTCACACGAAAACACACATTAATGCAAAGAAGCATTAAAGAAGGGAAAATGCAGCATCTCCCATACAGCCTCCCACGGGTGGGAGCAGCAGGAGCAGAATGCCTCCTAAGAGCTGCCTGTTCTCCCTCCTAGTGCCATCCCTGGGCTATCCCAAACGCCGGCAGCACTGACAGGGCACTGACAGGACACCTGCAATGCAGGTAGCGGCTGGAGCAGCCGGGCCCAGCCCAGCCCAACCCAACCCAACCCAACCCGGCCCGGCCCAGCCCAACCCAACCCGGCCCGGCCCGGCTCCCAGCGCTGCAGCCTCGCAGCCGCGGCCTGAACACCGGCTCCAGAACAGCCACCTCTTGCAGTGCCAGCGCTTCCCAGGGGAGTCTAGCGGGAACGGAAATTTTCCAGGGAAATATTAATCTGCGCTGCAACACGTAGAGCGTCCACATGAACCGACCTTTTGAAGTTATTTACACGCTTTCCGTGCAATTTCCAAAAATGCTTACATTTTCACCCAAGCCAGTTCCATGCAATCAGAAACAAACACGACTAATGCACCAAGGCGGGACAGGGAACGAAGGGCGGCCGAGTCCCCGAGCTGGGGGGTAACCGAGGAGCAGCAGCGCCAAGGCCCAGACACAGCACAAACATTCCCAAAGGCTTCCCAGGGGCTCCAGGGCCGCCGAACCTCGGGACACCGGGACACCGAGAGGGACCGCAGGAGGCGACAAGCAGGGACTGGGGCGGGAAGTGACAAGCTCTGGCAGAGGTGCTGGGAAAACCTAAGAGATTGTAATAAGCCTGAGGGACTGGGACAAACCCTGGGTAAGGGGTTGGAGCAGGAGGCAACAAGCACTGGATGAAGGGCTGCGACAAGCCCTACCACAGCACAGCCCGAAGCCCCGTCCGCTGCGCGCGGCCCCTCACGGAGTGCGGCAGCAGCGGCGGCCGCCTCAGCCCGGCACCGGGCGAGGGGAGAGGGCCGGGGTCGGGGTCGAAGACCCGGGGACAGAAACCATCCGCCCTCCCCGCTGCCCCCTCACCGATGAACTTGGCGCGGCTCATGGCGGCTCCGGGCCCGCTCGGCGGAGAGCGGGCGAGGCCGCGCCGCCCTCCCGGCATCCCCCGCGCGGAGGGGAGGGCCCGTGGAGCCCAGCGCCATGGCCGCGTACCTGACGCACCAGCAGAAGGTGCTGCGGCTGTACAAGAAATCCCTGCGGCACCTCGAGTCCTGGTGCATCCATCGGTGAGGGCGAGGAGAGCTGGGAGGGGGGAGCGCTGGCCGCCCTCACATCGGGGCGCTCAGCCCCGCGCTTGGCTGAGCCTGCGGTGGGGGGTGTGGTTGTTTTCCTCTTCACCGTGCATGACCTCTGTCCGTAGAGACAAGTACCGCTACTTCGCCTGCCTCCTGAGGGACCGGTTCGATAAGAACAAGAATGTGAACGATATGGTGAAAGCCACCGAGCTGCTGAAGGCCGGCGAGGAGGAGTTCTGGGCCAGCCAGCACCCGCAGCCGTACGTCTTCGCCGACTCCCCCGGGGGCGTTGCCTACGAGCGATACGAGATGTACAAGGTGAGGTGCCGGGAGATGCGAGGTGCACAAGGTGGGGTGCCGGGAGATGCGAGGTGTACAAGGTGAGGTGCCGGGAGATGCGAGGTGTACAAGGTGGGGTGCCGCTCATGCTGGGAGTTCTGCGCTCGCTTTGAGCGTGTTCCGTGTCGCTTGGCTCGGCAGTGTCATTTCACTCTCTGTGAACATCTTGGTGCTTGTGTGGGAGGAGCTGCTCTGGTCCTTGGAAATGGAGTTTCTTGATTAGTTTGAACACTGCTCCTTGTTCTTTTGGTTTTTTTTTTTTTTTTTTTTTTTTTTTTGCTTGTTCTTTTGGTTTTTTGTTTGTTTTTTTTTTTTCCCCGGGGATAATTATCTGCTCTTTTGCCAAGCGCAGTCCGCCCTGTGGCGGGTCAGGCTGGCACAGGAAAGGGCTGGAGCTGAGCTGGGGAAGTGAACAGCGCCCAGGGAGCTCTGCTGCCTCCCGAGCACAGCCTCGGTTCCTCTGGTCAGGTCGGGTGTCACCTTGGCTGTCGGGGACTTCCCTTCACTCAGTCCTATGGTTCTTCCAGCATTTGAGTCATGGTACAAGTTACCGTTTCCCTTCATATGCTGCAGTGCCAGATTGTGCAGTTTGTGTGCTGCTGTGTGAGAGAAGCACTGCCTGGATATAAAAACCTTATGTTTAAACTCTTTAAGGCACTTTTACAGGTATTAACCATCAGGATTGTTTTATTTAGGAGCAAAGGTTCCATATTAAAACACAGGTACTTTGCTTTATTGACATAATCTTTTTAATGCATTAGAAGTTAATACTGACCTAGAGACTGCATGCATCCATTTCCTCACGAATTTGAAAAAAGTGCTGGCACAAGACTGGATGTGGTCAGATCTTTTTGCATATTAAGCCATGGAAAAAGAAAAATATGACATAGATTTATCAGGGGCAGAATAAAGAATATGTGAGTGAAAAGAGAAGTTATTTAAACTTGTGCCAAGGTCAAGGGCCTGAGTAGTAGTAGAGATAATAGTGACAGAGAATCTGGACAGAAAAAAAGGCAGCTGAGCACTGGATGGTCAATATCAGTCTTCATACAGAAACACAGACTGGGTTATGCTTTCCTTTCCCAGTTTGATGGGCTAAAACTGTTTTAACAAAATGGATGCCACAAGGCTTTGGCTCATTTGTGTATCAGTGACTGTCTGTTGTGGATGCTGCTACAAAATGTAGTTTTTAGAACTCAGGCTGATTGGTGGTTTTAATTGGAGCTTGCTGTGGGTGGATATTTACTTCAGCAGCTGTGCTATTTCCATTCAGTCAAAGGTTTGTTCTGTGATGAGAATCACAGCAGGAAAAGTGTGAATATCACTAAGTGTATGATGGTACTGGAGCAACTTCTTTCTTTTTTTTTTTTTTCATTGGGAGTTTTGGTGGAATTTTGTTTTTTAATCAGTGTTCCTCTCTTTAAAATGTAAGCAATTTGGGTTTTTTTAATTGCTGCAAAATTCTAAATTTTGGGCTTTTCCCTTGTCAGGAGGTCTTAGAGGTCAGACCATTCTCAAGATCTTAAAGGCCTAAGAAACTGCTCATTTCTTAGTAGTTGTAGATAAGCAGAAATGAGCTGTAATGTTGTGTCTTTGTCAAGTAAAATAAATCAGTAGTTGGAGAGAAGGATTCCTCTAACCTGCTGCCTTTGAGAGGAGGAAGGGAAGAAATCAGATCTTCTCCTCCACCAGATGGAATTATTTTGAAAAGTTTAGAGTAAACTGAGATGATCTGGGACTTGTTTTGGAATGCTGTGATTTATGTAAGTCACTGTGATGTCTTTCTGTGGGTCAGGATAATGTGTGAAAAATTCTGACTTCTGCCATGTGCCTTGAGATAGTCAGGCAGCTCCTAAATGGTGTTTTTATGTAATACTTCAAAATGGAAAAAAAAAACCCTAGGAAGTAAGACTGCCTTTAGCCTTTGTGTTTCATTCTTCTGCATGTGTGTACAAGTGTGATTTCATATATAAAAAATAGTATTTCAAATCATATTTTTCTTCAACAGCTTCCTGAATGGGCCTTGGATTTCTGGCACCCTTCTGAGAAGGCAATGTATCCTGATTACTTTGCCAAACGAGAGCAGTGGAAGAAGCTGCAGCAGGAAAGCTGGGAAAGAGAGGTCAGTGCTTGCTCTATGCAAAGGAAAGTCTCTTTAGCACACAAGTATCCTGTGTGGCACAGATGTGTTCTTGGAAAAATCACTGAATGTCTACTACAGTAGTCTCAGTGAGACTCTCCAGTGCTGGGGTCTCCGTCACTGTGGAACAACCTAAAATGTCTACACTTTTGTTACAGCTTCTGGAGGGTTGTGAAGGGAATTTGAAGTTAAAGTTGAACCTGCAGCCTTGTGTCAGCTAGTAAGAGCTGTTATAGCAGTTTTGTGGGGAAAGAAAAAAAATCCAAAGTGGGATGAAAGGAGACTAACAACCAGAGAATTCCTCTGCTGCTGCTGTGGAGCTCTGACACTTTCTGGTTATAGCTTTGAATGTGATGTGCTGCAGTGGTCATCAGCTGGGCATGGAGATTAATTTGTGGCCACCCTGAACTGAGAGAGGGTTGGAAGAAGTTGGTGTTCTTAGAACAGTCCTTTGATTCAGTTGGATTCTATGGAACGTGGCACTCTGAGTGGAACTGACACAGGCGCAGCCAGCGCTTGTGCTGCTTCAAGAAACAGGTATTGAAAGCATGTGAGGGGTGCTGGTGACGCAGGAACAGAAGTCTCCTACTCACTGACTGCAGGGAAACTTTGTCCAGACTTGGAATTATCTGTCAGCTTCCAAAGCAGCACAATTCAGCCTGTTTCACAGAGTAATGGTAGACATGAACTATGTGGAAATAATGACCTTTAAAGTGAAATTTCTCTTGTAAATCACTTCTTGCTCCTAGAAATTCCGTTTTTCATTAGGTAGTAAGAGCCTGCAGTGATTACTGAGTGGAAGTTAAAGTTGGGAAACATGAAACCTGTCACCCAAAGATGTTACCACTGGTTCTTCTCTGTGGAAATAGAGAAGAACCAGTGGTTCTTCGTTCTGCTCATTGTCTGGGCACTGAAAATGGGAATGTGTGTTAATGTGCTAAAGCAGTTCTGTGTCTTGTCTTCTAGGTTAAGCAGTTACAAGAAGAAACGCCAGCTGATGGTCCAAAAACTGAAGCTTTGCCTCCAGCTCGTAAGGAGGGGCATCTGCCCCCCATGTGGTGGCACCATGTCACTCGACCTCGTGAGCAGCCCATGTGAGAGCACCGTGGGTGTGAATGGCAGCAGTCTGTGCTGCAGGCAGGTGGCACCTCAATGACCACTTGTTCCTCAAAGTAATAGAATAAAGCCAAATAAAGTAAAAGAAAAGGTGTTTTTCTGGCACACTGCTCTTCTCTGACACGCTGACACTTCACTGCCAGCTTGTGCAGACAGTTCATATCAGCCCCCTAACTTGGAATGTAGTACTAAGTACAGGCAAAGTGTTAAAGCTTGAGCTTAAGATACAGACAGCAGCAGACATGGGCTTTGGGTTCTCTTGTAATGAGGGTATTTTTGACCTTGCTGCAGGATAAAGACATCTTTCCCTCCCTTCCCTCCTCCTTAGGCTCTTTGCTGCATTTTTCACTTTCGTATCAAATCTCACAAGACACAAACTTTGCTTACAATGTGGTGCTTTCCTCATGGCATGGACACCAGTGCTGCAGAGCACCAGAGGAAAGTTGGTCCCCACATAAACTGAATCCCAGATAAGCACTGAGCTGTATCAGTTAACGTGCTGCTGAGGATTGTGGCTGTTGTGTGCCCATTCACAGGTCGCAGATGGTTCTGGCAGTGTGACACACTGAAGTGGGGACAAAAAGCTGTTTGCTTCTGGCCCCGTTCCCAAAGCACTGGTACAAGACAGAGAAAGCTCTGCTAACACTTTCACTAACTGCCCTGTGAGAGAACAGATGCAATACAGCCACTGAGCAAAAGCTCATAGGAAAACCTGGCCCTTCAGCTGTTTTCCTGTTTTAGGAGATGTAGGTTGCCTAATCTGACTTCCATTCTACAAAAGTTACTTGACTGTGCCCATGTTTAAGCCTAAAGCTTAATATTTTTCTAAACCCCAATTGAACAAAAGATGGCAAAGCTTCAGCTCGTCTAAGAACCAAACATATGTAGCTCAGGAATAAGGCTTTAATTTGATTGAATTTTAGAAACTTTTAATCTGCTCCTTTCCAGTAAGTCTGCATGCTAAAATAGGTATGAATTTTGAAAATAAAACTCCAGAAAAACAGCTTTACATATTCCACAGCTGAAATTTTCATTCCTGCCAAGAAGCAGGATCTGTTCTCTGTGGTCAGTTAGTAAAAAGTAGCGATGGAATTGAGAAGTGAGTGCCCTCTTCCAGCACAGCTGTTCAGCACATGCCACACCTCAGGCTGGAGCTGCCACTTGGAACAAGTGGCTTCAGTATTGAAACAGCTGAGCAAAGCACTGACACCCGAGTGAGACGAGATGCTCAGCAGCACCTCAAATACAGCCAGAGAGACAAGGGGAATGAAACCATGATCCTTTAGGAGACATTTCCAGCCAAACCACATTGGTTTTGCTTTTAAC